GGTGGTAAGTTTTTTAAAATCCGATGTGTGGATCACATAATATTTCAAAAATTTTAACTTTTGAGTATAGATGATCCACACTGTACGTTGTTTGGAAATCCAGTTGATTAAGATCCTGTTCATCTCTGTATCATAGACACTTTCTCAGGGAACATGCTTGTTTTTTTGACCTTTCACATTGCGAGCGTGTAAATTCAATTACAGCTTGGGTTGTGTCCAATAAATATATAAAATAAAATAAAATAAAATAAATAAAAGTCCAATATAAAAATCTCCCTATCTTTGCACACAGCTAAGGGTTCTCAAATTCCCAGGCCTCTATCTTTGCACACAGCTAAGAGCCTACTCAAATCTCTCTTTCTCTTGCACAATCTCTCTCTACAGTACTAATGGAAGTACTGCTGGCAAAGCCTAAAAATAATCAATAAATGTTCCACTGTCTGACTAAGGCGCTCCTTAGTTAGTATGGTCTTAATTTAAGATGGTGTATGCTTTTCAGCAAAGGTTTATCAAAGGGTTTATTAAGAGTTCAAATGTTTTATTGTAAAGATGTTATGTGTCTTTATTAGCGATAATATTTCTGTTACAAGGTTATTATATTATTATTATTATTGTATCCTGAACATGATGATTCTCACTTGGTCTAAAACCAAGCCTATTTATACCTCTTGAGGTATTACAAATAACATGACCTTTACAATATTTTATCCAATAATATATGCTTATTAATCCTAGCTTACTAATCATTAATTACTAATGCTATGACTCATAATGACTAATCCTATGAGTCACTATTACAAATAATTGAATTAATAATTAGAAGTAAATAATTATGTCATTAAATAAGTTAAAAACAGAAATGATGTAATGTGTAACATGACGCAGTATGTGGCGTAGTTGTTACACAAAATATTAAAATAAAAATAGAAAATGATGTCATTGTCACGTGGCTACCGCAGTAAGTTGGTTCCGATTGATCGACATGCTCGGGACTTCCCCAGTCCTTATTTACAATCTCACAATCTTCCCCTTCTTAAGATTTATCGTCCCATGATAAATCATCTATAATTGTCGTCCCTGCCTTCTTAAGTTTCTTCTATGTCTAGCACCGGATCCTCCTGTGAGTGGTTTCCTCCTTTCTTCCAAAGTTCCGTTCTCTCTTTCCTCCTTATATAATTCTTTTGCCCAATCCAAGTAACATTTATCGCATGATATATATTTAACGACTTGTCGCATTTGTGGGATTATTATTGCCTCATTACACCTTTCGCAGGTATAAGGTTTCCATGCATTAGTTGCCTTTTCTTTATTTTTATTGCGATAAATAATAAATTTTCCTGCATATTCCTTGTTCCTTCGCTCAAGATACCGTTTTACATTTTCTGGTTTAATATTTTCTTTTTCTTCTTCTAATTCTCCTTGATAACATGGTTCCTCATTTTGTTCTTTAATAAATTTGCACAATAGTCTTTTCCCCACAGTCACTAAGTCTTCCTCGTTAAATGGTAACAGGCATTCATGACAAAGATTGATCTTGTCAGTTGCATGTCTTGGGTGTTCTTTTAAATTTAGTAGTCTTGGTAATTTTTCCATTATGGCTTCTCTATTTCCAAGGTAGGCCTGATTTAAAGCCTGGATATATTCTTCATCCTCTGAGTTCTCCTGGAGGTAGGCATCCATTCTATGTCCAAGTTGTTCATATTCTTGTTCAAGGCGTCTCCAGGCTTCTTGCCATGTTTCATTTGTATAATATCTTTGGTGGTACTCTTCCTCATTTACGGGTCCATTTAATTTAATGTAATAAGCTTCTGCAGCTCTTAATACTTCCTCTTCATCTTCGCTGCAATTCTTAACTTCTATATAATGTCTAACTTTTTGCGGAACATGGGCAAAGATGTTTGCAGATGTTACTGCCAAGTATGCATATTTACATATTTCCGAGCATACATCATTGTTCCAACCAATATTGACTCTTTCAGTCATTAATTGGTCGCACACTCTACATGGTTGATTGTACCATGATTCCTCTGTAATGTCATAAGATCTATTCTTAAAGCATGAATTACATAGTTGGTAACATCCCCATTTCCATCCATCATGAGTGTCTGATTTTGCTGTTGGTCTTCCACAGTTACAACAGTGGTAATTCATTCTTCTTGTTGGTTTGACCCAGTCAAAATGTTCTTGGGCCTTTTGTTTCAACCATGTCTTATTACATTTGCATGGCAGTTGCTGATCATTATGATTTAAGAATGTAATTGGTTCCCATCTTCTCATTGGATCAAAATTTGTTTCTACTTGCACCCTTCCTATGATTAAGTTTGTTCGATATTGATTACTACTAGAACCCCCTTCCTCCGGGTCATTTTCTTTTTCAGAAGATGCTCCTAGGTTAATTTGTTGTGTTCTAGCAATTATTTTATTTTCCTCCGCTACTGGCTGTTTATCCTTTCCTTTGCCTGGTGTAGCGGTCAGGGCATCTTCTTGAGTATTTAACTCTGATGTAACCACTACTCGATTCAATTCTTCTATCAATAATTCGCACAATACTTGCCTTTTTGGTCCTGGCTTTTCAGCTAGTACTTTCTTTGACAAGAATTTGACAATTGAGTTCATTTGTGTTTGTTCCATTTTTGTCTCAGTTGGTTTCTTTGTAAACAATATTTTTCAAGTAATATAAATTGAGTTGGTTGTTTATGTACTAGATATGCTTTTGTTAAGTTTCTTATTCTAGTATTTACTTGTTGAAGTTCAAGCCTTTGTTTATTGGTATTTTGGTTGAGTTGTCTTTCCCGTCTGTGTTTGTGGTACTTTCCCTTGTCCTGTAATTTCATTCGACCGAGAGACTTCTTGTGGTGTAAAATATGTCAAATTTACTGAGTTGTGTATTAGGTTTCTCAACAGGTGTTGGTTTCTTTGAAAGTTGTTCCAATCTCCCCAATTTTGTGTTCTTTGAAATTCACTGAGCGATAATATTAATTGAGTTGTTAAAAATGTATAATACTCCCACTTGGTATCGTTTTTATTTTCTGTCCAATGATTAATTGGTCGAATTGAAAGAAATTCTGTTGATGTTGAATGGTAATTATAATTATTAATTGTTTTACGGCAGTGAGTCTTCTTCGGACTTGCTGTTTCGTAGATAAAATATTTATTTTTATTAGGTGTTATTAAGGTATTTGGGTCTTTAGGCATTTAATTATTCAATTGTTAGTTGAAAAGTTAATTTCCACTTGGTTGAATTTTCTGCCTTTTTATAAGAAGTTTTTCACTAATTGATTTTTCGTGTTTCCATCTCATCTTGTTACTCTGTTTTGTTACAACCCCTTATCTTTGATGAGTCATTTTCTTAGTAATGTTTGACAAATATTATATCTTCTTATCTTTTCAATGAATTTTTGTTCAAGTGGCTTTGTTTATTTTCAGCCGTTGAAATCATTGTTTACTCCTTATTGATCTTTAATATTGTTCATGATTTATTCAATCAAAATTTCTGGTACCCAGGCCGGTCTAGCCCAGTACTTCTTTAATCTATCCCCGTTGATTGGTGTTCTCAGAATTCTTTGTGATTCTATCTCGCGCAACTTGTAACTTCCACTTTTCCATACTTGGTGAATAAGATAAGGTCCCAACCATTTTTCTCTGAACTTGTCTCCATGTACATTTTCGTGGGCACTTTCCCGTAATAAAACTTGTTCTCCTATCTGGTATTGTTTTGGTTTCACTTTCCTATCATACCTAGCCTTCTGATCTTCTTGTGCTTTGTTTATGTTTTCTTTTGCGATACCTTGTACATGATGTAATCTTTCCGTTATCAGATCTACATGGTCTTCTAAATCGTGTTCTAAATCGTTATCTTCCATTCCAAATTTCTGTGTAAGTGGTGTTTGTGCTTGTCTCCCATACACAAGAAAGAATGGCGTAAACTTTGTTGATTTCTGTGTTTTAGTTCGGTAAGCTAATAAAGCTGACGAAACATATTGGTCCCATTCTCCTTTGTGCTGTATTACGAATTTAGCAATTGTTTCACACAATGTTTTGTTGAACCTTTCAGTCAATCCATTTGTCTGTGGATGGTATGATGTAGTGAGTACATGATTAATTTCCATTGTTTCGCATAGTGCTTTTATGGTGCTGTTAACAAATGATGTTCCTCGATCAGATAACAATTCACTTGGTGTTCCATGCCTACAAATTATATCTTCATAAATGAATTGAGCGACTGTTTCTGCTTGTATATTTTGAATGGCCCTTGCCTCCGGCCATTTAGTAAGATAATCCGTTGCTACTATTATATAGCGATTTCCCTTTGATGTTATTGATAATGGTCCTACAATATCTATTCCTATCCGTTCAAATGCTCGTCCAACCGGTATGGGGTGGAGTTCATTTGACTTCTTTTTATTTCCTAATCTTTGGCATGTGTCACAACTCTTCACATAATTTTCTACTTCTCTATACATTCTTGGCCAGTAATAATTTTGTTTGGCCCTATTAAATGTTGCTTCCGTATTAAAATGTCCTGATAGTTGACTTCCGTGTAAGTTAAATAGTACTTCTTCTAACTCATTTCTTCTTATAACCCTCTTTTCCATATCATTCTTAATCCAAAATAATTTATCGTTTTTAAGTGTAAATTCATGTATTTTCTTTAGTGTAGTTTGTTGAATATCTATTGGTACATTGCTTGGTAATCGATGGTTTGTTAAATAATATTTTATTGACTCGTATAATTGAATATCCATTAGTGCTGGTTTTCTCTTCTTAAGACTCTCTTAATTATTTATACAGTTTATAGACTTGTTGGTCTGTAATCTTGACAAAGCGTCCACATGTCCTTGAGCACGTCCTGGGTTATATTCAATTTTAAACGAGTATTGTTGTAGGTGTACTAGCCATTTCTGCATTCGATTATTTAAAGCAAGTGTACTGAATTGATATTTTAACGGTTGATGGTCTGTTATTATGGTAAAGGGTTTTCCAAGCAAATATACATGAAACTGGTCTGTGGCCCATTTTACAGCCAGTAATTCTAATTCTGATGCTGAGTAATTTTGTTGTGCTCCTACTAATGTTTTACTAGCATAAGCAATTACTCCTACCCTTCCTTCATCATCTTTTTGTGCCAAAATGGCTCCTAATCCAAACTTGGATCCGTCTGTTGAAAGTATAAATGGTTTATTGAAATCTGGATGTCTTAGGATAGGTTCCTTTGTCAAAAGCTCCTTCAGCCTTTCAAATGCCTCCTGGCAGTCTTTTGTCCATTCAAATGGTGTATCCTTCTTTATTAGTTTAAACATTGGCAATGCTTCTTTTGAAAATCCGGGCATAAACTTCCTGTAATAGGATGCTAATCCTAGAAATGATCTAACATCTTTTACTGTTTTTGGTGTCGGCCAATTCTTAATTACTTCAACCTTTGCTGGGTCTGGCTTTTTGCCATCTTTTCCAATGATATGCCCCAGTAGATGTAGTTCTGGTTTCGCAAATTCGCATTTTTCTCTTCCTAATTTAAGGTCTACCGCCCTTAATTTATCAAAAACTTTCCTCAAGTGTTGTAAGTGTTCTTCAAATGTATTTGAGTATATGGTTATGTCATCAAGGTACACGTTCACGAATTTTCCTTTATAATCCTTAAAAACTCTGTCCATCATTCTTTGGAATGCTGCCGGTGCATTGGTTAGTCCGAATGGCATTACTGTGAATTCGTATAGTCCATCTTCTGTGATAAAAGCTGTCTTTTCTTGATCTTCCTCAGCAACTTTCATTTGCCAATATCCACTCATACAATCTAATGTGGTGAACCATTTTGCTCCTGCCATTGTATCAAATATATCATTTATCATTGGCAGTGGATATTCATCTCGTTTGGTTTTCTCATTCAATTTTCTATAGTCCACACATAATCTCAATTTGCCATTCTTTTTCTTCACCACTACAACTGGCGATGTCCATGCGCTATTTGATTCTTTGACAATTCCAGCATTGATCATTCTTTCAACTTCTTCTCTTATGAATGTTCTTTTCTCCCTGTCATGTCTATAGGGTCTATTTTTAATTGGCCATTCACATGTAGTAGGTATATGATGTTCATAGTCTTTTATTCGTCCTAGTTCCAAAAGGTCTTCTGCAAACCTATCTTTGTATTCATTTATGAATTTATCCAATTGTTGTTCTTGTTTAAGTATTAGGTTGGCTTCCCCTTTGATAGTCAATACTGGGGTTTCCTTCCATTCCCCTCCCATATCTTCTACGAAATATGCTGCTTCTTCCTGTAATACTTCATCCTCATATAGCTCATTTCCCTCAAATATTACTTCCTTCGGTTCTTTTTCAAATATGATTGGATGTTGTATTATTTTGCCATTTTCTTTAGCTTCAAGTATTTTCTTTTTAAAGTTGATAGTGGCTTCTATTTGCTTAAGCCAATTATTTCCTAATATCACATCGTAGTTATCTGCTTTTAGTACTACCATGTCTATGTTTATTGGTCTTTTCCCATCAAGGGTTACCAATATTTCTTTGGCTATTCCCAATGGTCTTGTTTTATTTCCGTTCACGTCTATAAGCTGAGAGTAGGATTCTTGGTCAATCCTTTTCCCCAACTTATCTAAATATTGTTTTGTAATTACACTTAGTCCTGATCCTGTATCGATTATAACTTCTGTTTCTCTATTATCAATGAGGACTTTGCTGGTTATGGCATCTATCTTTTTATCTGGGGCTTTCTTTTCTTCCAAAGCACCACCCTGCCCCTTCAGGGGTGCTTTTAGTCTTTTAAATTTTCGAGTTTAGAAGTTAGCTGGTGCACAGCTGTAGCTAAAGCTCCAAATGTATCTGTTTGTGGCTGTTGTTGTATAGGTTGAGGTGGTAGGTATTGTTGTTGGTAGTTTTGTATGGGTTGTTGATTTTGATAGTATACTGGTGGTTGATATTCAGCATAATCTTGTTGTTCTTCATAATGCTCCTGGTTCAATAGAACTCTTCTTGGTTGTTGCTGATTATTATTAGTTCTTTGCTGGTAATTCCCCCCCTGTTGCCGTGGTTGTTGTTTTTGTACTACTGCCACAGGTTGCCACTTACATTGACTTGATATGTGGCCTTCTTTTCCACAATTGTAACATTTTGCTCGTTTGTTTCTTTCTGGGCAGTTCCTTGCCCAATGTCCTGTTTTATTACAGTGGAAACATTCCCCTGGTTGCTCATTACTTTTCCTGTTTGGCCATTGGTTCATGGTTCGTTGATTACAGTTTATGGCTTCATGTCCTGGCTGGTTACAAAGGTTACATTTCCGACCTTCTCTGATTTCCATGGCTAGTGCATTCACATTCTGTCCTAGTTGTGTTACTTGGGTAGCTACTAATGTGTTGATGTGTTGAAGACTATCATTATTAAAGGGGTTATCTTTTCTTAAGGTGCTTTCCACTTTCTTTGCTTGTTCCCAAGCCTCTCTGAATCCCCTGGGCACTGCTAACTCGGTGAACATTCTTATTTGACTTGGTAGTCCATTTAGGAATGCTTGTAATTTATCACTTTCGGGGTATTGTCCCAATGGGTCTGCTTTCATGTATAGTTCGGTTAATGCTCCTGCATAGGCATCCACAGTTTCCCCCTCTTTCATTCGTCGATTCCTTAGTTCATTCATCCATTTTTGTTGATGTTGTGTTGTGCTAAAATAGTCAAAAAATTGTTTCCTAAAGCTGACTGTCTCTTCATAAGTTCCTGGCCATCCATCCCATGTTAGAATAACTAAGCCTGGTGTCTTCCTCCAGACTTCAGCCTGTCCTTTCAAACATGTTGGTACTATTTGCAGTCTCCTTTCCAGAGAAATATTATTTGCCTCACATGCTTCATTAAAGCTTCTCCACCATTGGTATGGATCATCAATATCTCCATTGAATTTAGGTAACTCTACTAATCTTTGTTCCCCTCCTCTGTTTGGGCGATCCATTCTATTTGCCAGGTTTACTAGTGCATTAACTAAATCTCCTGCTGGTGGTGCTGGTCCTCCTGCTCCTCCTCCACCCATTCCGCCTGGTCCTGGTCCTCCTGGTCCTCCAGGGCCTCCTGTTCCTCCCCCTCCTCCTCTGCCATATGGTGGTAGTGGGAAGAAGGGTAATCCCCCTCCAATATTTAGTGGTGGCGGTTGATTATTGTTATTATTTGGTGGCAGTGGTGGCACTCCTCCGAATATGTGGGGTTGTGGCTGGTTATTATGGTTGCCCACTGGCCCATTACCACTATTCACTGGTGGTGGTTGTGGTTGTGGTTGTGGTGGTTGGTTGTTTCCTTGTATGAGTTGTTGTACTGGTGGGGGTGGTACTGGTGGTTGTGGTGTCCATATTGGTGGTGGTGGTCCTCCTATCCCCAGCCCGGACCCAAATGTTCCTCCCACTGGTGGTTGCCCTGGTGGTGGTTGTGTTGGTTGAGTGCTTGCCACTGTAACTGGTGGTATTGGTAATGGCAACTGCTGCTGTTGGGTAGTCACTGGTGGTTGCTGTGGAAATGGTACTAGTGGCGGCATTGGTTGTGGAGCTATTGGCTGTGGTGGTGGTGGTTGTGGTTGTGTAGTGGGTACTGGTATTGCAATTGGTTGTGTAATTGGTAGAATTGGTGGGGAAGATGACCTAATAACCGTGATGTATGGATCAACTATACCCTGCTGGCCCCCCGGTGGTTGTGTGATTGTTGTTTGCCAATTAGGTGGTTGTCTTGGTGGTGGTGTGGCAGTTCTTCCTATTCCCTGGATACTAGTTCCTGCTAAGTTTGGTTGAGGTCCTGCTCCTTGCCCCATTCTGACTGTTCGAGAAACTGTTGGTGATGGTGTGTTTGGTGGGCTCATGTTATTAAAGCAAACATCACAGTACCGATTTGACCTATGCTGCACTGAGCTTCGGCATCCTTCCCTTATGCACTCTGGTAGATTCTTTTCACAGGGCCAACAGTACATCGCGTCCTCCAGCACAAGGTTTTCACATCCCTGTTCTTCACATTGTCTTATTTTGGCTCCACAGTGTTGGCACTGAGTGTTATTTATGTGATTCCATTCTGTACAGAAAGGGGCTGGGCATCTTCTCAAATCCCTTCTTCTACAATTTTCACAATAGCTTCCTCCACTTAGCTTTGCCCTAGGGCAGTCTTCCGTTATACACCTTCTTGAGTCCTCTTGACATTCCTTACAAAAGGTTTTATAATCTTCTCTTTTGTTTTCGCATGAATCTATTTGACATTTACACCCCCGACAATATCGGTCACCCACGTCCTTATCTGTCCCACACTGTTCACAAAAAGATCCCTTGCATGTTGTGCAAAAGATATTGCCCATCTCCCTTCTGTTATTACATCGTAATATTGCACACTTTACTCTTTCCTTTCTTTGTTCTTCTACTTTCTGATAGCAGTTTTTGCACAGATGGCTATTCCCATCCCTTGGCTCCATACAGCCATTGGTTGTGCATGTATGCACTGCACAGTATAATTCTCCCATTTGGGCTTGTTCAACGCAGGTTCCCTCTTTGCAGTAGACTGTGTCATTTTTGGAGGCGCACTTTGAGCAAAATTTCGACCCTCCCAATTTCACATTAGTGCAATCCTTGGTTACACATTGTCTTGCTGCCAGCTGCTTATCCAAGCAGCTCTTGCAGAATTGTGCTCCTTTTTGTTTTTTATTTTTACAGTTTTTAATTATGCAAAATGGGTTTTCTGGTGGATTAGTAGATGTCCCTGCCGTTACTGGTGTTGTCGTACTGGTCCCTCCAACATTGTCCCCTGCAGTACTTTGTGGCTTACTATTCTTGCTGCTGCTAGTAGATGCCCCGGCCTCTTTCTTTTTTTCCTTATTTTCTTTTACTATTGTTGATGGGTCCGGCACTGATGGTCCTGTTGCTGTTTTAATACCCGTTTTTGCTTCTACCATTTGAACCACTGGTTTAGTCTCCGAATTGTCTTCTTTTGTTGTGTTCTGGCCTCCCCCTGATAATGATCTTGATATTCCTCCAAAAAATCCACTCATCTGGTCTTCCTTTGCTTTTGCTACTAATGCTCTGTATTGAAGGAGTTTCTTTTCGTATTCCTGTATTTTAAATTCCCGGTCCCTTTTATCTAGTTCTGTACCCTTTTCTCTTTGGAATTCTAATGCTACCTTTTTACTAGTAACTTCAGTTATTGCCCTTTCTAGGTCCCTAAGGGTCGATTTTGGTGGTGATATTTCTGGGGAGTTAGTAGCGTTTTCTAGTGTAGTATCTCTCAGATATCCTGGGCTCTTCCGGTATGGTGTTTCTTCTATAATCAAGATAGTACTATCGTCCTCCACTTTTGCTTAATTAATTTATGTTTATAGGTTCTTGACTATAATCTTCCAACAGCAGATATGAGGATCTAGCTGTCAATTATAGTCCTGTCGTCGTCGCCAAAATGCGAGCGTGTAAATTCAATTACAGCTCGGGTTGTGTCCAATAAAATATATAAGATAAAATAAAATAAAAGTCCAAT